CGTGTGGGAGACCCGGAAGAGGCTCCTGGCTTTGGATTGGCACAGCATCAACTGTCACACTCACTGGGGGAGTGAATCATCGGACGGAAGATCTTCCTCTCTGTCTCTCCTCTCTGTATATCCGCCTTTCCAATAAAAATAAAATAAATCTTTAAAAAAAAAAAGTCATCTTGATCAGTTCAAATACTGCCATCAATACTTTTTTCAACCTGCTTGGTAAATTGGCACCCATTAAAATCAAGTGCCTTATGGAAGATTATTCAAGTATAAGAGTATACAACAGAGGAGAGAGGCACTGCTTGGGCTCTGACTGTATTTTTCAAGTTCTTCAACCGAAGCGATGTACAAGAAAATTCATTATTGCCTAGCTTACTTCCAGTTCTGCCACGGTGTTATTAAGAGAGGCAGGGGGAAAGGCCCAGCGTGCTTCGCAGCACATTCAACCAACTGAACTTCTACTCTGCGAAGTATTTCAACCAGTTTCAAAAGGCATTGTATAAGCAAAATCTCACACTTTTCTGCATGCTTTTCCTCTTCATTTTTAACCCTCTGAGTACTTGCAAAGGAAATGGCAGCCACAGAAGTAATTTATACTTGGCACATGTCAAATGGCGTGAAGGAGCTGTGTGTGCTCCTCCATGCCCTGTCCACCTTTGCAGCTGGTCTGCTGAGCATCAACCACCTCCATGTGTGAGGCAGGAGAGGCAATGAGCAGATACAAGAAGGGATAGAAGGAATAGAGGAGGACAGCATCCTGCTGGGAGCTCCAAGGCAAGCAGAAATCTACCCAGGGCCAGAGGAACAACTCACACAGTTGCTGAGGTCACCTAGTCCCCAATGGCCTTTGGCCAAAGGGGCCAGGATGACTGAAATCCAGCCAGTGCTCTGCTGTCCTGGGTGGCATCCACCCAGAGGAAGGGGAATATCATTAATCCCAGTGAAAGTAGGAACAAACCAGTCACAAAAGGACAAATAGAGACATCCCTTGGTACCTGTAGAGACTGGTTCCTGGAACCTCATCAACAGCGACATCCCTTAGTGTTATATTGAGAGTCAAGTATTTACATAGCATGTAAGCATCAATCTGAGAGTCCTCATTACCTAACACAAAGCAAATGCTGTGGAAACAGCAGTCATACAAGACTAACCTGGGAATGAGGGGATAGCAAAAGTGTCCACCTGTTCAAAGGTGATGCAGCTTTTCTCCTTAGTACTTTAAAGTTGGTCCACAATGAGGCCATTCAGCAGGTAGGAATGGACCGCTGACTGCATTGTAGGACTCTACCCCCAGGAGGAACCCACAATAGTGAAACTTACAAAGATGGAAATGGGCACAGGGATCCGCCGCAGGTGTGGGGAGGAGAGATGGAGCATCACTACCACTTAGCAGAGAGGAATCTCAGTTGAGAAGATGAAAACATCTTACAGAGGGATGGCAGGGATGGCTGCAGCCACTTAAACATACTTAATGCTAGTGAATGACACACCTTAGAATAATGGCTAAACTGTTACATTTTGTGTTTTTTACTGCAATGGGAAGGAATGTGGAAGGGCAAAGGAACCAGAGTTAATTACTGCCAGTTATACCTCCAGAGACTCTTGGAATAAAAATGCTGCTCACAAGACCGGGTTGTGGCCAAAACCAGGCCACAGGTCCAACAACTGAGATATGGTCAAGGCTGGGCTTACCAACACAGTCTCACAACATGCACGACCCATTCAAACCATTCCTCTTCAGGCCCACCTTTTACCTCCTAAGGATACTGAAAAGCTCTGGCTTCTCTTCATGGGTTCTCGCCTGTCTCACCTGAAGCCCCTTCTGCCTGAGCCTCAGAATGGCCTCTGTCAGCTGCCTGCCTGTCCCAACTTTAGCCCACGCAAGCTGTGCGAGAAAAGAGCCAGACGGTCAACCCCAGCCCACCTCCCCCAATGCTTCATCACTGCACACACTGGAAATTTCCTCCAGCACCAGGGCAGTTCAGAAAGAAGAAAAGTTCATGATTCCTATGATTTTGGCATTTGTGGTGAACTTTAAGCTGGGCCAACAAGAGGGTCTGCTGTGAAAATATACAATGTAAACAAGACTTGAGGGAAAATGTTCAAACAAAGAGAAAATTCTTAGAGGTTTTACCAGACGTAAATCTTTTATTGACCACTTAGTGGCCATTTTTTAAGACCTTTAAAAACACACACACTGTGTCAGGATTAGGAAACATGGTGATGCCTCTGCCATTGAAACATAGGCCAGTCCCACAAAATCTCCTTTGCCACAACTTCTTCAACAGTAGAGTTCCAAGGCCTGAAAGTTCCTCCTATGCACCACCAGGATACAAAGTCCACCTGCAGCTGATGCTCTCTGCCCACAGGGAACTGGCACCAGGGCCCCTCTCTCAGACACCACATGCTGCAGATGCTCAAGTCCCTAACAACACCTGCACACATCCCTGCACAGATATGAAACCATCTCTGGATAACTGGCAAGGCCCAATGCAAGGTTAACGCCATTGAAAGCAGCCACCACACTGTGGCATTTAAGCATCAACATCAACAACAAAAAACCAGTTACAGTCCAAACAGACACCATTTTCCCCCCAAATAATTTCTATTTGAAGTTGGAGAAATCAAGAAGAAGGGCAAGGTGGGTTGACTATACAATATGCTAAGTGTTTACATATATAGGTAAGTATATATTGCCATGTGCATGTTGTCTACATTGCAGGGGACAAATAAGGTGATGAGGATGTGTGTACTACAGATACAATCTGTGTGTCTGCCACACGTGTAATCATGAAGTCTGTTAGTAAATTGAAAGAATAAATCAGTTATTTCAAAGTACCTCCTATACTTCAAGATGACAGAAGTCACAATAGTGAGGATGCTAAAGTTATTAAATGCCACTGGATAACACACTTCCAAATAGTTAAAACAGCAACTGCAATGTTGTATGGGTTTTGCCACAATAGTTAAAAAACATTAAAGTTGGGGCCAGCGCTGGGGCACAGTGGATTAAGCCACCACCACCAAACAAGCATTCTATATGGGTGTTAATTTCAGTCCCAGCTGCTCCACTTCAGGTCCAGCTCCCTGTTAATGTGCCTGGAAAAGCAGCACAAGATGACCCAAGTCCTTGGGCTTCTGAGTCTATATGGGAGACCCAGCAGAAGCTCCTAGATCCTGGCCTCAGTATGACCCAACCCTGGCTGTGGTAGTCATTTGGGGAGAGAACCAACAGATGGAAGATCTCTCATCTCTCTAATTCTTCCTTTCTAAGTGACTCCTGACTATGAACAGGTCCCAGAGATCAAGCACACTTTTGGGTTAATAACAACTAACCACGTCATCTTCTACTGACTAGAAAGGCCACATCCCTGTTGGCTGGAAATCTTTCCAGTAAGGAAGGTGAGCGCTGATACTGACTCCCACAGAAGAGCATGAAGAGCAGGCGTGTGAGTATCAGGGTCCTGGTCTGCCTGACTCTCACAAGCAGGGTCCTCACCTACATGAAGGAACCTGGTCTACCTGACACTCACTCTCATGTTTCATATCCCAAATTCATCACAGCACCTACTCAGGTCTTCTCAGCTGGCTCCCACCAATGCAGCCACAAGGCTTAGAGATATAGTCAAGGCTAGCATCCTAATTTCACAATGTTCTATGCAAATTAAATAGCCATGTAAACTTGACAACCAAAAATTTTCTTACAAAGGCAAAAGATGCCAGATTCTTTTTTTTCTAAATTATTTTATTTTTACTGGAAAGTTAGATATACCAAGAGGAAGGAGAGGGGGCAGATCTTCCACCCGATGATTCGCCCTCCAAGTGACTGCAATGGCCAGAGCTGAGCCGATCCAAAGCCAGGAGCCAGGAACCTCTTCCAGGTCTCCCACATGGGTGCAGGGTCCCAAAGCTTTGGACCATCCTCAACTACTTTCCCAGGCCCCAAGCAGGGAGCTGGATGGGAAATAGGGCCCATATGGGATCCCAGCACATGCAAGGCAAGTACTTCAGCCGCTAGGAGACCACACCAGGCCCCCAGATTCTTAAAATACTGTGTTAGTTTTTTTAAAAGAAAAATAGGTAAAGGAAGACAGAAATTGACAAAACTAAGAAATGGACTGTATGACATTCACTAATGATCATTTTTCTTAAGCTTCTTTCCAAAATCTGGAGTTTTAAGTTCCAGTTAATTGCCCTTGACACTTCACTTACATAGAGCGGTATAAATCAATAGTGTGTATGTATGCACCCTAACAAAATCCATTCCCAAGCAGTGGCCTCTCGGCATCACCAAACCTTCCAGGGCTCCTGGACAACGTATACTCCAGGGTATGCCACAAGTTCATCTGATACATCTTTGCAGACTCATTGTGTTTTGTTGGGTTTTCAGATTTAGAGAGAGATTTCATCTGCAGATTCACTCCTCAAACGTCTAGGGTTGGGGGAGTTAAACCAGGAGTCAGAAAATCCAGCCTAGCATCCCATATGAATGGCAGAAGGCATTTGGGCCATCTCTTTTACTACCTTCCCAGGTGCCATAGTAGGAAGTTGGATCAGCCAGGATTCAAAACTGCACTCCAACATTGGACGCTAGTCATCATTAGCACATTTCACCAATGGCATGACAACACTGACCTGTCTTATGGTCAGTAAGAAGACACCTTTAGTGGAGTAAATAATGAACTCTCAGTAGAAATTCAAATCTGTGAGGTATTTCTTTGGAGTTGTCTAGTGCCACTAGTTCTAACTCAATTCTTTGATTCTAACCCCATCTTCCAGCCTGGGAAGGGCTGAGCTAAGTATACACTACTATAATCCCAGATGTTAACTATCTCCAGGGAAGCTGGTGTTCTGTTTGGTGCTACACAAGACCAACTGCAGCCTATGAACAAACTAGGGAGAGCTATGGGAAAAATGAAGTTCTTTGCAGCATACAGCTCTTTGCACGATACAAGCAGGTGATGTGACTGAGCAAAGTCCAGTCCAGCAAAGTTGGTACAAACCAAATCTCTGGAGACCAAGACTTGAAACATGGCCCCTGACCAAGACATGAGGCTCAGGGAAGGTCTACACAGCAACAGAAAGGGATTCTTTGGAAGACACAGAGTGGACCCAGAGGAGCCAGATCCCTCTGTGTGGTATAAACGTGATCTGACTTAGTAACCTTCACCCCAAAGAGCCAACCTCCCACCGCACAGGGACTGACCAGCACCACTCCCATTATTTCCCCAACTGAGCCACACCGATCTGTTTTGTACACACAGAAGGCAAATGTGGGTTCCTCTTTGGCTACTGGATTTCATACCGAAAGTGTACAGGACAACAGTTCTATCTACAAATGCTGCTCACCAGAGTCAAGCTCATTAACATGTCTTTCCACATAGCTAAGGCTCTGTAGGTGTATGTTGAGAACTACTCTCCTGGCAAACTCCAAGTAGAAAGCACAGCATTACAAACTGTCAATCCACAGGCTGTGTACCAGCTCTTCAGAACTTAACTCTGCTCACATCAACGAAGCTTTGTACTCTTTGAGCAGCATTTCTCCATTCCCCCTGCCCCTGGGAAGCAAGGTTCTATTTTCCATGCCCACCTATTTCACTGTCTTAGCTTCCTCAGGTAAGATCAGACAGCATACTGTGTCTGGCTGAGCTTACTCAGCTTGCTGTCCTACTCACGTTGTTACAAATGGCAGGACTGAATAATACTCACTGATAGACAAATACATATTTCACCATTTATTATCCATTCATCCATCAATGGATATTTAGGATAACTTCCCTATCTTGGTTATCTGAGTGATACCAATAGCAAATATAACCGGTATTCACCAAGAGATTCTTGCCATGTTCATGGCAGAACTGCTCACAATTGCCAAGAGAGAGTACTGGGTTCATAAGCTCCTCTAGACAACCTCCCTGTGGTTGGCTGCACACCCAGAAGCAACCAGAAAACTGGTTAAAAACAGAAATCCCTGGACTCCACCGAAAATACAAAATCAGTTGTCTCTCAGAATGGAACATAAGAATCTACATTTCTTCCACTTCTGTGAGTGGTTCTTACACAGCCAGCGCACAGCCCAGGATCTGGAAACCTCCAAGTTTCCTCACCTGCTTTCACAAAGGAATGAAGCCAAAGTTTGTGTTGCAAAACAAAGATTAAGTATCTCCCCTTCAAAAGAAAAAAATTAGGTTCAACAGCAACATTTCAGCCTTTGTTTATCAATCATTAAATGTGGAGAAAGAGAAGGTGAGGGAGCCAAGAAGAACACATACTAAAAACTGAAGCTGGAGAGACCAGGAATAAATTAGTTTCCTTTCAACTGGACTCCATTACATAAGCATCACCTGCATCAACAGAAAAATACAGTTCAATAGAAGGACACCCCAAGAAATACAACATTACATAAAATGCCTTCCCAGCTGTACTAGCTTTAACAATACATAATTAAGACAATAAATCTGCTGAGGGGAAAATACCACGCAGGTCAGTCTAACACATCAGAGAAACTTGCAGGGATTATAACACTCATGAACTGGCCTATTACATATCCAAAAAAAATCTAATTCATAACACCAGATAGGCAAGCCTAAAAAAAGACAGTTAAAACACACAAGGGGACAGTTCTGAAATGCCTTAATCCCTGAGGACTCAGCTACTCCTATAAAACTTTATAATAGAGTGCCAAATATTTTTAACTAGTCATTAAAGCTGTCCTAAGAATTTCTAGTGTAGACTTTGATATCTAATTCAAATGACTGTATAAATTTGGAAGCTGCAAAATCAATTTTCCATAAATCATCATTTGAACTTCACTCATCCAAACTGGCCTCCTTCCTAATTAGGTTGAATTCATAGGATCTGACTGCCATGCACTGCCAAATCAAACAGAACTAACTTGGAGCTTTGTGCTGCCTGGGATTTCAATGCCACCTCCTTCCCTGGTAAGCAGAATGACCAGCGGATGCCAGCCTCTACAATAAATATTTAATGGCTGCCAACACTGGCCCGTCCCCCCAGAAAGAGATACACATACAAACATACCTTCAGATCTGTCTGATACCTGCTTTCTGCCCTCTTCCTTGCTCCTGGCAAATAGTGAGTTTTCCCAGCACAAAGAGAAATGCCAGCTGACTTGCTCAAGCCAAAAGTAAACAAAAAGGCAGAGAGAAAAAAAAAAGAAGAAGGGGAAAAAACACTGCAGCAACTACAGTATTGTCTTCAGGCCAAGAGGTCATGATTTCCTCAAAGTGTCTCCGGTCCCCACGCAGGTGAAACCCAGAGGCAGAGTGGAAACCCCACAGCTTCTGTGGGAGACCAAAATGTAAGCCCCTGATAGTGAGTGGACAAGCAGAGGCCAAGGGGCCCAAAGCAGACTCACACCTCCACAGAGGCCAGGACTGAGAGAAAATACAGGAACCCAGCTCTAAAAGGAGCTGGGCTTTGTGGTTGTTTTTCATATACTGTCTTTGTTTTAAAGGCACTCTGCAGTCCCAACCTTTACTATCTCTGGCTACACAGAGAGCAAGGCATGTGGTTAAGAGGACTGACAGCCCACCTCCTTCCTCAGCTAACAGTAGCACACACAGGTTCAAGCACATCTGGCCTGGGTCTGAATGCTCTGCTTTGGAGAGGAGTCACCAACAGTGAAACGGCTCATCCCGTCATGAGCAAACATGGTTCTGGAGCTGACATTAGTAGGGAGCAGCTAAACTGCCTTTAGGAGCACCTGTTGTTCTTTTTTTTTTTTTTTTTTTAAGATTTATTTTTATCGAAAGGCAGATATACAGAGAGGAGAAACAAAGATCTTCCATTTTTTGGTTCACTCCTCGAATGGCTATAACATCCAGAGCTGAGCTGATCCAAAGCCAGGAGCTTCTTCTGAGTCTCCAACATGCATGTAGGGTCCCAAGGTGTTGGGCCATCCTCCACTGCCTTCCCAGGCCACAAGCAGAGAGCTGGATGGGAAGCGGAGCAGTCAGGACATAAACCAGAGCCCATAAGGGCTCCCAGTGCATACAAGGCTATCATACTGGGCCTACATCCATTGTTCTTATCACAACGCCTGAGTTCCAATCCTGGATCCACTTGTAATTCCAGCTTCCTGCCAATGCACACTCTGGGAAGCAGCAGGTGATAGTTCAAGTAACTGGACCCCTGCCAGCCAAGTGGGAGTCTTCAACAGTTTCCAGCTCCCAGCTTTGGCCTGATCCAGTTCTGAATGTTGTGAAAATCTGGGAAATGAATCATTAGAGAGGAGTGTGGGCTCTGCATCTTTCATTCATTCCTTGGTATTCATTCATACTCTCTCCCTTCCTCTCTCATTCACTTGCTTTCTTTCTCCTTCTCCAATATGCGAACAGAAAATTAGCATTGTCTAGAAGGAGAACAGGAGCAGATTAATTCCCACCAGGACCATCATCATCTTGTTGTTCCAACTGAACACATGTGATCAAGAAGAGGGCATCCAAGCCACAGGGATGCAGCTTCCTGTTCCGGTTCCACCCCCTCTTCCTGTGTGAGCTCAGACATGTCAACTCAGTGGGGCTCAGTGTCCTCTTTAAAATTGCAGATAATTCTCTTCATGCCCGTCACTCTCTCAGCATTGCATCAGCAGCAGGAAGGGCTCCCAGGTGCCCAGAAAGCACTCCTTAGGACAGTCACACCCAGCAGATCCAAGTGCCCCCTCAGGGGCCTGTCAGTCTGCTTTGCCTTCTCCATTCCTTTTCCTCCCAGACAGAAAATGTTCTGGTGAAATAACCTCATGATACCTCCTGGGTATTACTTTCTGCTCAGGGCAAGCATAGCCAACTTTGGAACCCATGCAGGTGGAGAGGAGGCTGACTCTTGACTGAGGGCTGCTGTGAATCACAGCATGGAATGGACCCTCTTTCAAACAGCAGTGGTAAGTTGAACTCCTCGATATGCAACCTGCAGAGGGACACCACCATGGAGGAAGAACTCTGTGAAGATGAGCCTCACCTCCAAAGTCACAGAAATGGATTAGAACTCCAGACTCCCAAGCCCAGTTCTCAGACAACCCCAGCTCTGCAGCACTTAGAGAAGCTCCAGGGCATTTCCAGTTTGCTAGTTAGGCTGAAGACAGAGAACTGGGTTTATACTATGCAATCTATTTCAAAGAATTTCTCCCTTTCCATTCAGTTCCATTAACTAAGGTTATTTATTTACTTATTCAAATATTTATTTAGAAGACAAAGTGATAAAAGTGAGAGATGCGGAAAGAGGGAGCAAAGTGGGATAAGGAGAAAGACAGACAGGGAACTTCCAACTATTGATTGCTCCAATGGTCACAACAGCCGTGGCTAGGCCAAGCCAAGCCATGAGCCAGGAATTCCATTCAAGTCCTCCACACGGTGACAGGGGTCTAAGCACTTTGGCCATCTTCTATTGCCCTCCTAGATGCCTTACGAGGAAGCTGGATGGCAACTGGAGTATCCTGGATTCAACAACACTCCAATATAGGATTCTGGCATCACAAGCCACCTACCTTATTTTAGTCCTGCAGAACTCAGTGTTCCAGACAGAAGCTGGGAGCTCTCTTATCCTACGTGAGAAGGTAGTGGTAAAGCATTAATGTGAGATGGCAGAGGCCATAATGACAAACATGAGCAGCGTAAAAGCAATTGCATTTCTATACCCACATGGGTCTAAAAAAGAAGTTCTGGTCCCACACTAATATTCCAAGAATTTCATATCTTTCACTATATTTCACCCCAAGGAAGCTCAACATTTCTACTGCAAAATATAATATGCCCAAAATCCCAGAATTAAATACCAACCTTTTCTAAGACACAAAATTTTGTCTTGACCGTCCCCTTCTTGGCAATAGGATTGATCTTATAAACCACAAATAGCAGACAGAGAGAGAGAATAGTTTTACTGATTGAATTTTAAGGCTGACAACACACTGGGGTGATGAGGTACAAGACAACTGATATAAAAATGAGAATCAGAGCTCAAACAACTTGCTCATCATTACACTGTTTGGGGAATGGCTAGAACCCAAGTGTCTCAGTTGTAAATTCATTGCCTTTTTCCTACCACACTGTGCTGCTTAAAAAAAAAATCCAGCAAGTTGTGGCCAGATTTCTGATAGCTCAGCTGTTAAGTATCAAGGCTCTCAGCTGTCCTTACTCAGTAGGTATTGCTCACGTTGCCAAGTATTGCCTACTGGGGACAATAATTTTATGATCAACGAAGCAAAATTATGACTTAATTTTTAAAAAGGATGCTGAAAACACTGCCAATGACTGTTCTGCCTCCTTAGTCAGGTATGACCCATGGTTTCATTGCAGAGCAAATAATTCTTGGCATCAAGGGCTTACCAGGGGGTCACAGGGAGGGTGTTAAAGGAGATCTACAAATGGCAAAAACAAAGTGTGACATTTTACACGAATGTGCATTTTTCTGAGACAGATGGCTATACTTTTTCATCAGATTTTCACAAACTGAAACTTAAAATCGCTAACCCAGTGAAATTATTCACTTGTCCAAAAGTTTTCATGGTTGGTATTTTCTGTGGATTTCATTTCACCTTACCTCCATTCTCCTTTATAATACTTATTCACTACTATAATTCATTCAGTGACACTTCTTATAATTTTTAAAACCACCCCAATTCCTAACATAGAGCTGCAAGCTGTGTCTAGGAATTATAGAAAAATTCTTGGTTAGCCAAGCTATTCCCATTCACTACAGAAGAACCAA